TCACTTCCCGATCTACTGAGCCGACCTGTGACAGTCTCATTGTCACAGGTCGGCTAGAACTATGAGGTGAGTGGAAAGCACTCACCTCATAGCTCTCCTTTAACATCGCTCTTGCATGTTTCAACAGGCGGCCTCGGGGGCTGTCACTTTAATCTTGGCTTTAGTATCTAACAAGTCCATAATCTGGAACAATTCTGGAGAAGGGAGTTCAGGCTTTTAAGACAGCACAAGATGCATGAATGGTCAAGATCTGTTGCTCCATAGGCAGTGAATACGCAAGCTGAATGACAGCCCTGAGGTCTGCGCCTATAAATACAAGCCAACAATTGGAGCTTCCATATGTTTATCCTTACAAACTCACTTTAGGGGGTTATTCACAACGCTAGCGGAAGGATCAGCTGTAGCTTCGGCCGCTGGAGCCCATCGGTTCAATTGAACCGAAGGGCTGCTGTACGGGCTATTCACTATAGCCCGTACAGCTCCCGAAGGCAGCCGAGCCGAAGGCATATGCTTCTGCTCCACTGAGCCGAAGTGACACCCGAAGCAGGAAACGCCTTGCAAATGACAGCTGGGCAGAGCCAGCCGTGATCTTACAGCTGGCTCCACCCCGTTACAATGATAGATCAGCATCCACAGGTGACCTGGGGACGCTGAACTGTCATTAAACAATGACAAGTGGCCCAGTTTGTATTCATTGGCCGGGACCTGCTAGAAGACTCTAGCAGGTCCCGGACCAATAGGAAACAGTTGGGTGGAGCTGTCACTGCTAGCTCCGCCCAATTTTTTTTTTTTTAAATCTTTATTTAAAAAAAAATGTATTTACATTTCTAAACCTTTTTTCTACTTTTTTTGAGTTCCTATTCTGCTCGGTACCATGGAGGTACAGAGCAGAATAGCCGAGCGGCATTCAGTTATTCACTCACTGCCGTTCGTGAATAGGGCCAAACAGCAGTGAGTGAGCTGCCGGAGCTTCGGCTCAGCAGATCTAGATGTTGTTTGGCTGAGCCGCAGTGCAGAAGCACTGCGACTCAGCCGATCCAATAACCAAAAGGCCAAATATTCTCAAAATAAAAAGATACACATCCTTCACACAAATTTGCCCATATAACCCACTTACATTCAAATAATCTTATGTAAATATATTTAATGTCCACAAATACTATTATAACATCGGTCTTTTTTTTATTTATTTTTTATTATCTCCAGTTGTAAAACCTGTTAAACCCTGGAAGCAGTTGAACGATATATGACTGCATGTCAGTATCCTATTACTGTTTCACACAGTTAAAAGTGCTGTGTACAAAAGATTTACTCTTTGTCCTCACCTTAGGCTAGCTGCCAGGCAGGAGGGAGTGTCATGCTTTCCCCGCGTATAAAACAAAGGCTTTGCCGCGAAGAAATATGGAGCGCAGAGTGTGGCGGGAGTTGACTATGAGCAATTAGGGTAGGGCATGCAACATAACAAGGAAGTGACAGTTAATGTACTATTTAAAATGACCTTCTTGGTCACAACGTGGAAAGCTAGAAAAAAGAGACAGCAGGTTAAACTAAGCACTTCTGAAATGTAAATAACAAGCTGCCGTTTAAACGTAATGTGAACAATGCACAAACAGAAAATGAGCAAGACGTTAAACTGCTTTGCTTGTACAAGTGGGTGTTCTGTAGGGGTTTATCAAAGCACATCCACTATGCCTTTGATGCATTCAGTTACACAATACTGTATAGTGAACCTTGTACAAACTGCCTGTTAGTCTGTGATGCTCCAATTAGGATAGCAAGTCATAACTCAGCTTCAAAAAACAAATGACTGTTAACCTGTATTGATCAGTGTAAATGGCTTGTCCAATCACTATAGGGACAATGCCACTTTATCTTAAACACAACATGTTATATTGAGCTCCACTGAACCGTAACAAGATGTACAACACTTAAAATGGATGAGAGAGAGTCTCTGTACACACAACCTAACTTAGATACTGTCAATTGTTTGCCACACTTCATATTCCTTAAGAGCTTACTATCACCAAATACATGTACATAATGAGACTTAAGCTGGCCACACACCTTACAATTATCTGCAGATTTTCTGTGGTCAGATGGAAAAGGTGCAACAGATTCCTCCATTTACACTTAACTGTGTGGATGGAGGAATCCCCACCTGTTGCACTTTTTCCATCTGACCACAGAAAATCTGCAGATAATTGTAAGGTGTATGGTCAGCTTAAGGTACAGACAATGTGCATGATGATTTGTCTACATAAAAAGGTGCATACAATAATTTGAGTGCCTGCTTATATCCTTTGATAAAGCATTAAATTAGAGCTGCAGCTAACGATTATTTTCAAAATCGATTAGTTAGCCGATTATTAGGTTCAATTCATCGGTTAATCGGATAAACAATAAATCCAAACATTTGCATGAGCCCCAAAGAAAGCTAGCAGTACCTTACTTGCTTTCTTATTACCTGTTGTCGCAGATCCATGATTTACTGCCCCATGGCAGTGCTTACTGAATTAAAGAGGAACTCTACCCATATCTTTGAAATAGCAACAAACACACCTATAGAAATATTCAGTAATGACAATCTACAAACACAAGCTTCTAGATAATTGCCGCCTTTGTATTCTTTACATACCTTATTTTTCCTTTCCTCCCCGGTCTTCTCACAGTGGCCATTTTAACTAAGGGCAGATTAATGCATCTCCCTTTACTTCCGGGAACTCTGGCACATGTAGCAAGGACATGTGACCATGCACATCATTTCAGGGGAGGAAAAGCCTTTCCCTGAGATCTCATGAGATTACATATGGGATTTCCCAGCAATATTCTGCTGATGTAATCTTCCCAGGATACAACGCTTGGGCACAGATTATATCACTAATGCCCAAGGAGACCAGGAAGTGGAAAAGCAGTAATTGTAAGTAAAAGAAAAAAATATGTTTATTTAACTAATGAATGTAAGATGCAGAGCTGTATACTGATTTTTAGTGAAAGTTGGTAAAGGTCTGCTTTCAGTATTCCAGGAAACTGACAAAATAGGTTTCAATAGAAAAATGCATTCTAAGGTATAGGCCAATTTATAGGTTGCCTGATTAAAGGGTATCAATGGTCAAAAACTAAAAGTCAATATGTATTTCTATATTGAATTTCCACAAGTTCTATGCCACTCCTTATATCCATCTAGAGGTTTGTAAACTTACTTACTGAAGATGCCCATAGGATGTACTTTCTCAATGCACTAATACAATTTCACTCAGCCCTGTGTATTTGCACTTTCTTGTATCACCACTCTAAGGCCCCGTTCACACCTTTCCGTTTTGTCGGGCGTTCAATACTCTATGAACGCTCTACAAAAACGTACAACCATGAAAATCCCATTGTTTTCTATGGGTATGGTTCACACCTTTCCGTATTTCCGCCCTACAAAACGGCTGACGCCCAAACAAGTACATGTACTTCTTTGGGCTGTTTTGGAGGGCGTTTTCCATTGGGATACAGCCAAGTAGCCTTCGGAATCGCGCGACGGTTGAGCGATTTTTTACCGCGAATCGCGGTAAAAAAACCACGTGACGGTCGCGCGACAGATGTGCATACGTAATACGCCTAGGTGTGAACCCAGCCTAACAGAGCCTGCCTTCTAAACTACAACACAAGGTCTGACTATAGTATGATGGACTATATAGTCTTCAGAAATTGACATTGTAACACATCGAGGAGCAGAGAAAGAGTTCAAAGCACATTGGGAATCCAGGAAGTTGTTGAACATGTTGTACAGATAAAAGGCAGGGATTTTTTTCAAGTAAGCTTTGATTGCAATATGAAAAACAACCCTAGTATGTATCACTATTACAATGCTGATGTTATAACAGGATAGTATATGCTGGGACTTTACAGCTCATTTTATCTTGTTTTGACATATTAGAATATGCCCTTTTCTTGAAAGACTTCTGCTACTAAATGTTCAGGGAAATATATTCCAATGCTTCTGATAAAGTTATGACAAAAAAAAGACCATGTGCATATAGGTAACTCTTTGCAGATGTCAGACTCTAATGAGCTACTTATCTACATTAGTCAGGGCTCAGGGATTGGCAAGCAGTAATCAGTGGATAATTAATAAATGTCTCTCTAGCTACAGAGATGCAGTGTCTGTGCTATGTAACTGGAGCACGGGGATTACTGACCAAATCTACCATCTGGGGGACTGAAAGGGGGGGGGGCAGTCTACAGAAGAAATACAGACCCAAGCAAACAGGTTCACTGAAGCTGTAGAACACTGCAGAAGTGTATCGATAAGATCATTTTTTAATTCCAATACTTGATGAAACACTTTCTATATAATGAAAGTTTAGGTAAAAGACAGATATACTGCAGGCCTTCAGTTATGCACATGGCACTGCACAATAGCTGTGCAACTTCATATAAAAACAAGGAATTACTTAAGGAGTTATACAGCAGTGTGGTCACCAAACACGCAGCTACACAAATATGCAAACAGCATGTAGATTTATTTTAATATGTTTATTGAAAAGGCACTTTAAAAGAATTTACCAATACCGCTGCAGTCTGCTCCATGTAGGCCCAACCTTTTAAAGTGTATGTAAAGGAGGGCTAGACCTTCCAAGTTTTGATTGCTGTATGTGTCCTTGTAGGGGAGAGTCACCCCTCTATTTGTACTGGTGACCATTGTCAACGAAACAGAAATTGATTTAAAAAAATCTAAAATTTTAGAATTGTCCCCAGGAAAGAGGAAATCTTCTAAAGGTGATCCAATCGATGTAAATGGGAGTGCCATAGAATAGAAAAGCTGTGATATCAGGCTTCAGGGAAAATCTTATATGGCAAGGCTAATGAACATTAAGATAGGATGTGTGGGTTGAAGTGGGTTATCCAGAAGGGCTTACAGTGCTGATGACTGCTGAGTATAGATCATATTGGTCATTTTGATTAGAGGTCTACTGAAGTGAACATAAATAAAAGGGACAACTGAAGAGTGGCAACCAAAATTAAAAACGGATTGTATCATTCATCCAAACATAGAATACTGCTAAATGTATTGTATTCTTATTTTCATGGCTATGATGAAACAAATAGGAAACAAGTAGTCATGACTCCTTATTGACACTTATTTCTGAAGCCTGAGAGTTTGTATCCTCATCATGTACACACAGTCTCTTCTCTGGTTTGCTGTACACACAGTAAGAGTCAGCATGGGAAGTCCCATCTGATGTCCCATGTTGAAGTTGCTCTGTATCTCGGCTACACTTCAGCTTCACATCATCTCTAGCCCTCTCATCTTCTTCCAGTTTCCTTTTCTTTTTTGCATGATGAAGATGTGACTTGGATTTTACATGTGCTGTAGAAATGGGACACACAAAGTGTTCAAGCTGCCATAGTTCAACATTCAAGTTTCCAGACCCATGAAATCATTAGACAAAATGGATGCTCCCTACCTTCCCACTCCCGATCTCCAATAATGATCCGATTACACAGATTGCAGAGTCTGCTACTTCTTTTATTGTCACTGTTGTCAGAGGCAATCTTCATAGGTTCAATGCTGGGTGAAATACCCTATGGGTAATACATTGATACATTGATTTATACATTATATAAGTAAAGCAACAGAGTCAGCTCACTTATTTCAGATATTTACATATAAGCATGCAATGAAAGATCTTAGAATCCAAGATTTTTGTCAAACTATAAAAAAAGAATGTAATGTTAAAAGTGTTATGATGCACCAGCTTCCTGTAACTGCATAAAACTTTAGCTAGGGTATCTTGAACTAATATGCCCACTCTGCTCCCATCAAGGCCAGTGTTTGCTCAGCTAGAATGAACTGACTATAAAAGTAGGAGATGGGCTTTACAACATCGGTCAGTCAAACTAAAATATAAAAGGTCCAGGCAGGGGAAGATCCAAGAATCTACAACAGAACAAGCACAGTATTAAGACATTAGAAGGTGCATCAAGCCTTGAGCCAATCTAAAGAAGGAAGGGGTGTCTCTATTAAAAAGTCAACTCTTGCCAAAACTGTTATTTCTATTTTTGGTGAGCACCAATGACCTAAAACACACACACACACTTTTGTTTTCTTTATTCTGGGCTCCCATTGTTGCAATGCATTACAGCACACACACACACACACACACACACACACACACATTAACCCCTTCATAAAGTGCCCAAATGACAGCTGTTTGAAGCTGTCAAAAGCCGGTAACCGCTGAGAGCAGTAGTTACCGTACATTAATGGATGCCTCAGTATTGAGGCTTTGACAGATAGCTGATCGTTTGTAGTGATGGGGTATCTCAGAGTAATAGCTGTGCAGTATTTACCGCACTCACTATCACTGTTTGACAGCTGAACATATGGGGTTAGGAAATCCCGCTGTGTATCAGCTTGTTGCTACATGGTTCAGCAATAAAAACATTTAGCAAAATGTTTCTTTGTTGAAACATTGTATCACATTTTTGACCATATTGGGAATGATCAGAAGTCTTTAGTAAAATCTTATTGGCTGCTCCTAAGTTTGGAGCAGCCTAATAATAACCAAAATGTTTGTGTTTTTTTTAATTAAATTATCAAGCAGTCATAGCGAGATTCATTCACAATGACTGCTTGATATAAATTGAAATAAAAGGAGAAAAAGTATAAAAAAAATAGTGTAAAACAATTAAATTACTTTAAAAACAATAAAAAAAACAAACACACACACACACACACACACACACACATATATATTTATACTATAAATTATACAAATTACCTTTTACAATGAAAACCTGCAGCTGAGCTGCAGATTTGTTTTTCAGCCCAAGTGGTTCTTTTTTTTAACCCCTTAATGACCAGTGACGTCCATAGCACGTCACTGGCATCGGGCCTGTTTTAACAGACTCCTGGCAGCTTTTGCCACCGGGACTTGTAAACTTGTCGGCTTTACAGTAGAAGCAATTCTGGCGGCTCAGCTCCCACCAGATCACGTCTACAGGCCGGTATAGGCCCCCCCCCGACACCCCCGTTGTGTTTCCCGGGCTCCGCTGCCCCTTCTGTGGCCCAGGACCGTCTTCTCTGATGTCGGGGGGAAGCTTGGGAGGTGATCAGCGAATGCCTGTTCACCGATCACCTCCCCGTTCTATGGGACCGGGAGGGATGCAGATTACATCACTTCCGGTCCCAGAGTGGTCAGTGCTGGGCTCCTGAAGCCCAGCTATAAGCTGTTGAAATGCGATCTGCACTTTAATAGCTTTTTTTAAGTGTAAAAGGAGAAACTAGGGGTCTTTTGGACCCCCAGCATCAGTTTAAAGAGTAGCTCTCACCACCATCTGCTATCACATGGGGGGGCTTGTAAGCCCCCCTATGTGATGGCAATTAAAGTTAAAAAAAAAAACGTTTTTAAAAATAATATTAATATGTAATTTTTTTACACAACTCCTACGTATGAAAACGGCAATCACTTGTTGGGTATCGCTGCGCACGCTGGAGAGCAATAATTCTAGGGCTAATATTTATGCGTATCTCAACTGATGACCTGTGGGGGCTTTTAATGCGTCGTCAATTGACTTTTTGGAGTACTGAATTTTGTGGCAGTTCACAGACACACACAATTTTTTCCCTGGGCATGTTAGGTATCTATTTACTCGTAACCTCATCTTGCATGTATCATTAGATTTTAGGGTTTGATAAGGAGTTGGGCTAATATCGTGCAATATAAAAAATTTGCAACTCTGACCATTTTATTCTACATGGTCTTGGCTTTCAGAATATATATAATGTTTGGGGGTTTTAAGTAAATTTTCAGGCCTAAAATGTGGACTATAACATGTACACAAAAAATAAAAAAAACACCTGGGTCACCAAGGGGTTAATTTAACCCCCTCATGGCTGTGATGTTCAAAGTGTTAAGGTGCCCATACACCTTACGATTATCGGACGATAATCGTATGCGATCGACTTTTCGTCCGATAATCGTATGTGTGCATTGCAGTGTCCGACCGACAATACTGTACAATCGTACGACTTTTGACGGTCAAGCATGTTTGAAAACTTTGTACACTGCGCTTGCGCTAACGAAAATACGGCAAATCAATTACCGCATTTCGTCAAGGTGCTTTTGGTTAATTACGGCTAAATGATTCTTGCGATCATCGGGGCAGGATGGGGCTGTCGTACGAAAATCGCACGACTATTCGATCATCGGACGAAAAGTTTCGTCCGATAATCGTAAGGTGTATGGGCACCTTAACACTTAGGCCTTGTTCACACGAAGCGCGGAGCAGGTGCAGAGCAGATCAGTTGCAGACCGGATCAAAACTGCGTCCAATGTATTCCAATGGTACTTTTTGCTCCAGTTCACATCGCAGCGTGCAGTTCCAGAGCAAGTGAAAAAACTGCGGCAGGCCCTATTTTACCTGCTCTGGATCTGCAAACGCATCAAAAACGCATGCAAGTGCCTGGAACGCACTGAAAGCCCATTTTAGGCCCTGTTCACGTGATTTTCAGGTCCTGATCAGGTGCGGACGCGGTGCTATGTGTTTTGCGAGTTTTGGCCGCGTTTTTGATGCTTTCCAGTAAAAAAAAAAAGAATTGTTTTTTGCTGGAGTGGGGCTGTCAGTATGTTAGCTGCAGTGCAGTGCGTTTTTGCCACGTTTTGCGTTTCCGGACCGTACAAAATGTGACATGCAGTATTTTTCTGTCGTAACCTGAGCGGACTGCGCACGTGAGAACTGTAGCCCATAAAACACATAGGGATACATTGGGATGCATTTGTAGTGCTGGAGCGTACGGATCAGGTCAGCACAGAAAACGGACGTCGTGTGAACAGGCCCTAAAACTTTAAATTAAAAAAAAATTACATATATATTTAGCCAAAAACGCGTCAAAAACGCATCTAAAAGACTAGCGTGCGTGTGCAGAAACCTGACCGGATCTGCTCTGCATTTGGTGTGAACAAGGCCTTAGTGACATTGTATGCCACATGTCTAACCTGGTGACTATTAGTTTTTAAAGAAATAAAATAAAATGTTAGCTTTTAGTTTTAGGCTGAGAAGTACAGAGAAATGTTTGCAATCCTAGGGATCTGAGGTGTTTCCAAATAAAGGACAAATAAATGAATTCATTTTAATGCATTTTTTTAGTAGTGCTATGTTTCTAAAAAATAATAATAACTAAAACTGAGGAAAAAGTGCTTTCTTTACGTTTTTTCCGCTTCATTTTCTATTTTATTTGCACAAAGTGAGGCTTTAGGCACACATATGTGACATAAAGATATAGCCCTATCTGTCCTCTAAAAAACAATATATAATATGTGTGGGTGTACTTAGTAAGAAAGTATATTACTGTCGTGGAAGAATCACACAGCAAAAATGTCAAAAGTGCTTCAGTCATTTACGAACAGAAACTGAAAAAAAGCTCAGTCATGAAAGGGTTAATGCCATTATGTCCCGCGTTAATTTGTTTTGTAGTAAGGCAGCCTATTAATTAATAAACATTTTCAAATCTAAACTGAAGAGAGAAGCTGATTGGTTGCATGCACAGCTGCACCAGATTTTGTCTGCTCCAGTTTTGATGCTTTTCACCCTCTGTAGATACTAACTTCACCCATGCAGCTCTCTGCTCCTCCCTAATGGCTTAAAACTATGATAGTATCACTGGCTAACAGTAAAGCATTGGGACAGGAGGTAGCAGGACCAAGCTTCATTTTCCTTATTGCAGCCAGGTAGTGCTCGGGTACAAGCTTTGACAACTATATCTCTATATCTGCAGTTCAACAAAATAAAAATGGTGTTAAAATGATTCGCTCATCTTACTGAGTTGCTGATGTCAGTTTGAGGAAAGCGTGGTTCACCAATCAAAATGATTTGATCATAAAAAGATGACATGTGTATGGTCCTGAATAAATAAAATTGTCCACTACTAGTTTGGCGTGAAAGGTCAACTGATAATTACAGAGGTGAATCAGCTAATAAGACCAACCTGTAAAAAACTGCTCACAATCTGTATTGCAGGTGATAGAACATTTTCATCCCAAGAAGAGACATCAGTCACATCCAGTCCATACACGTTGGGTACATTAGGTCCAGGTCCTAGAATACATACAAAAGTATTATGGTGTTAATAAATGCATATTTGAAATAAAGACAGACACGCATTTGTAGTTGCAAACACAGGGATATTTATTCTACAGTATTGCGAACATGCATATGGTTAACATACTATAGAAAAACATCCTTATTTTGTATTCTTACAAGGAAGGAGATATATTTAAATTGACAAACTGAATAGAAAAAAAAGGATCTGAAAGAAAGTGCAGCAACCGAGCATGACCTGCCTTCCACCTGCTCTTCCTAAAATGTGACCGGCAGCGCAGGCAGAGCACCTGTCTCTTGCCTGGCTTTGTCCTATAATATTTGAGGAGCAGCTGCTGACACTGGCAGCAATCCAAGAATTAAGAGAGGGGTGGAGTGAAGAGGAGGAGCGAGCATGGGACGCAACAAGAATGTGCTCAGAAAACAAAAGGGTGCCAGAGTTAGAGGCTAAATCCACCATCCGTAATTTGTAGTATGTATATTTCAGATCACCCTGTATATGGGACTTTGCAAAAGTAGAACTCCAGTCTAATTACAATGCAGTACACATAAAACAGGTTGATAACATATGTTCCCATATGCTTTCCGTAGTGTGTACACTTTATAAAAGTACAATTGTGTACTTTAACATTTTACATCAGCCTTCACATCCTCTATAAAAACTCCCAGTGTCAGCCTGTTCTGGCGAGCTGCATACACTTCCCTGAGCTAGCGGTTTCCCTAATTTCAGTTCCACTTCGATGCTCTGAACACAACCAGTTTACATCCTGACCTACCAATAAACCAATAATTAGTAAAGTGAGCTCATCGCTTCAGGCAACAGCACATTAAGTAAACACTGAAATGACACTGCATTATAACTACAAGTGTTACAGTAGAAGACAGAATTTCACAGCCACAATACCAGAAGAAAGACAAAACTGCAGATCAATATATTTGTTCCAGGGCAGTGACAAAGTAATGAACCTTTGGGTCAGCAGGATTACCAGACAACTAGCAGTTTCAAAAGGAGGGTTTATCAATAGCAGCATATATTATTTAAAGGAAAGCTATACTAAGGGAAGTATGAAGAATGTAATTACTAACCTCTCTTAAAATGATAGCTGCCATACAGGTCCAATGGATCAGTCACCGATCTGGGACCAGTACACAGATCACTTGTTCTAATTTTACTATGAACTAACTCGCTGCATGCTTGCTCCAGGTCATTAATTCACAAAGTATTGAAGGCAGAGAGAGCCAAGCGATTAGCATATTTAGAAAGTCAGCAATGACAGTCTACATTATTTCTCTCAGTACAAGTTCCCTTTAACTCCCTCACCGCCAGATGTCACTAATAATTAGATGCCCAAAACACATTTAGCAATGTCAGTATGTAAATATTCTGCTTAATTTTTTTATTACAGGCTGACAAACACAAAGTACTGAAAAAAAGTGTTCAAAACTTTTTTTTTCTTTAAATGTATACAATATAGTGCAAACTTTAACTAGTTCTGTGTGCAGAGGGACTACATGGAGAAAAAATGCTGTCAAAGCAGGAGCCAGGTAAGGTTTGTTTACAAACACACCTCAGGTGATCACCATGTCCATGTCAGCTCAAATGATCAGGAAAATAGGATTTGTGTACTTGCCCGTTTAACTAGGGACTGCCTGAAGCTCAGCGAACTGCCTGAAGGAGCTTAAGTCTGAAGCTGGAATCAGATGGGGCTGGTAAAACTTAGGAATGTGTAAAAAGAAGAGGTGGGACTTCATTCTGGCAACGCTGAGGGTTATGGGATTACACTCGGGAATGGTGTCCAGGATTGCAGCGTTATATCAGCGTCCTATGGCTAGGGTGAGGATTAACGGGGTGCTCGGCCCCCCCTTCTCCATGGAAATGGTACCAAACAGGGATGCCCGCTATGGCCCCTGTTGTTTGCCATCTCTCTGGAACCTTTACTGTCCACCATTACTCGTAATATTGACATCCAGGGGGTGCGGGTGGGCCCCAGAGAGCACAAATATGCAGCTTACGCAGACGACATTTTATTCTACGTCAGAAATCCCCGCATCTCCCTCCCAAACCTATTAGCGGCATTAAAACACTATAATTTAGTCTCCAATTTTAAAATTAACCTCTCAAAATCCACCATTCTCAACTTAACGGTCCCTACCGCAGAAGTGAGAGCCCTGAAATCCCACTTCCCGCTCTCGTGGCAGTCGCACAAACTGAAATGCCTAGGAATATATTATACGCCTCGCCTACAAGACGCTGGTCCCCCCTATACCACTCCTGGCTGGGTAGGATAGGTGCCATTAAAATGAATGTGTTGCCTAGATTGCTCTTTCTTTTCCAAATGCTTCCCATGGGAGTCCCGTCCTCCTATTTCACATTGCTACGATCCTTAGTTTCTAAATTTATCTGGAAAAACAGGAGAGCAAGGATCTCTTATAAAATCTTGACCAGACCAAGATCCTTGGGAGGGGTCTCCCTCCCTGACTTTAGGAGGTATTATAGAGCTACATCTCTAGCCAGACTTCTTGATTGGCATCACGCTAGAGAGTCGAAATTATGGGTACAGATGGAGTTCACCACGAGTCGGACGGCCTTACATAGGGTGTGCTGGATTCCGAAACAATATAGACAGTTGTCCGACGACACGCATCCCTTAACAGACACGACACTGTCCATTTGGGACGCACTGCACTCCAAACAGAAATGGTCATATAACTCCCCCATGATGCCTTTACTAGGTCATTCATATTTTACACCCGAACTTCTAGACGTGGGATATCGAACATGGTTACAAACTGGCTCTGACCCTTTATTGCACCAGGTTTTACAGGAGGTGAGACTTAAACCATTGTCCTCACTATGTGACACACCCAGACCTACATTTATGGATGCATGGCGTTACACTTCGTGCGACAGCTTCCTACACCCCTACGATCCAAGCAGGAACTTAACCTTTCCCCGAAGGTACCGCTCCCACTAAATGTATCTCCGCACTGTACACTACTCTGTCACACCTGGAGGCCACCTCTCATCCGCCATACCTGACACAATGGGAGATGGAGCTGGACAGTCCTCTTTTTGAGAAGCGCAGAGCTCGCGTGTTGGCTTTCTCGAGGGTGTTATCCAGATCCTCAAATATACAGGAACTCCATTATAAGCTGCTGAGCCATTGGTATTATACGCCCCAACGAATGCACCAGATCGATAGCTCTGCCTCGCCGTTGTGTTGGAGGGGCTGCGGACAGGTGGCATCACACGCCCACATATGGTGGCAATGTCCTAAAATAATTCCCTATTGGCAGGAGATTGCTGCAGAAATGTTGAGCATTCAAGGAACAACGGTGCAGCTAGACCCATGGGAGATGCTGTTCCATGGATCTGAGGGTTCAATGGGCAGATACGCCCGTTCCATTACATCACAACTACTTAAGGCGGCTAAAATTTTGATCCCAGCCAAATGGAGGAGTGAGTCTGAGTTCTTCTCTGGGGTTCTTACCCAATGGACTGCAGGGGCAAGGTGGGCAACTGCATTTGGCCTGGTTGGCCTCGGTGATTTGATTTGATAATTCTATAACTTCAACTATTCTATTGCAAGTAGTGAAATGTATTCCTTGGGTTGGAAAAGATGAGATCCTACATCCCCATCCCCCCTCACCAGTCAACCACATCCTACCCATCCCCTCTCCTTCCCTCCATACCTTCCTATGATCACGGTTGATGGGTCACCGTTCTGGACTTTGGAGCAAGATCTTAGATAATGTAATATCTTTCTGACAGCGTGCCCAGAAATGTGTAATGCAATGCCATAGTGATTGATTGTCCTCCTTTCTCTGTATGTCTATGTAACGTACCCCTGTATTCCTCCGTGTGAAATTGTTTCAATAAAAACTTAACAAAAAGAAGAGGTGGAAACCTTGCAAATTTGAGAAACAGTTGCCTGATCCCGAAAAAGCCCAAGACACACTCGCTGATCTAATGGAGAGTGCCTTGACAGAAAAGGGTAGAACCCAACCCTTGAGAGCATAAGCTTGGATAATGGTCCGTCTGAGCCACATAGGGATGGGGGGATAGGGGGGGGTCGAGAAGCCAATGGCCAATGCACCCCTACAGGGACAATCTAGGTGACAAAAAGGGAGTCAGTCTTTCTGAAAGAAGTTGTGGCTGAAGACTCTCATAGCCCAAACCACATCAATGAAGGGGAAAAATGGAGCCAGACAGATGGATGGAAGAACTATGTTCTGGTTGTGGTAAAAGAGAGAAACTGCCTTAGGCAAAAAGGAAGTCCTGGGCCTCAACCCCACCTTGCAGAGGTGATGGCTACAATGATTACCACCTTGCGGGTCAGAGTAGAGAGAATAATGTCTCTAATAGGTCCCTCAGAAATTCTCCAGGGTCTGGGGAGGGTGGCTGGAGTCAGCGAATGTCTCTAATAGGTTTAAATGGTGGTTTCTGAGGTGCAGAAAACTAAATTCAGATTCCATGGAGTCAAAGGGGAACGAACAAGAAGAGCAACATGGGAAACTCCCTGTACAAAGGTTTTAATAAAGAAGAAGTGAGAGACCAAGGGACCAAAAAATATGAAAATGGCAGAAACCTAACATTTGAGTCAATGCTGAAAGTCAAATGCTGGTAGGAAAAAAAGAGTTTTCCCATGGAGAAACTGCTAGGCTGGTAGCCCCGAGACTCGCACCAAGTGAATTATGCTTTCCATGTCCAATGATAGACCTTTCAGCAGGTAGACTTCCTAGCTCAGCTGAGAGAGCAGAGGAAGCTCCAAATACAGAAAAGACTAACAGCAGAGGGCAACAAGATTCTAGGCTGCAGATATCCGCTGCATCAGTAGGCATGCTACAAGCAGCTTGGAGCCGTTAGTATAGTGTGAGCTCGGTGGCACCTCGGCACAGCTTGACCGTCCACCAGACATGTCGCAACTGTGTGGTGGTAAAGTAATGTAAGGCTTAGGGTATGAGGCAAGGCCTCAAGTACTCACAAACTCCAAAGAGCTGGTAGCCAATGAGAGTAAGATGGTTGGAGATAACCAAGGTCATTGCTGGCGGGCAGCAGGAACAGAAGATCTAAGTGTCATATGACTTTTTGCAAAGAGGAAACAGCAGAAACAGGGGTGCAGGATTCCTATCCGGGACATGCAGTTCTGGGCACCAGGCAGGTGTTTTTTTTCTACATTTAGCCCGGCTGTGGGCAAGCAGGGCTAGATGAACAGCAGGGGAGCCACCGCTTGTTTTGTACAAGTGATCTGGGCGGCTGTACATTACCAGGCATCCTGCTTGTCCATCCCTCTCTCCACACATCTCCCCCCCCCCCAGAGCAGATCATAAAACGTTTGCTTGTTAGTCCCTGTGTGATAGCAATAAAGTGAAGTGATCGCCATCTGCAAGCGAATAAACGCACGCGTACAGCATTGTTTGTTTGTGCTGGCTGAGTGCTGCCCCCATTCTACAGTGTGTCATATCGTGGTAGCCGGACAGCAGTACTCTCTAACACACACACACAATGTGCATTAAATGGTAAGTTCACTTTCCCAAGTAAATTGGGAACATGGAAAAACTCGCTGAAATCTGTCCCCCAAGCAGATCAGCCCAAGGAGGCCCAACCACAGGAGGACAGGTGCATCTAAGTGCATAAGCCTCTTCCTCTGTCCAGAGACTACCAGCTGAGTGAAACCAGTTCCTAGGGGACTCTCCTTAGGGAAATTATAACAAGCGAGGCTTGGACACGGGGTATCATTTAGTGCAAGAACCAGATTACCTCTCCTACTGCAGGAAGGACTGCCACTCCTATTCGCTGGTGAAGGCACAGCAGGAACTCAATTGTGTCCATTGTAGTCCGGCGCAGGAGACCTGCCCAAGACGAGATCCCACCGTGGAGAAGGAATCACCTGTTCTGGAAGGCCAGAAGGTAGCTCGGGTAACAATAGTTCTCAAATAAACAAAGCCCCCTATATATGTGAGAAGAATCGATCTCACCCACCTAGAAAAGCAGAGTGAACACGCCATGAATTACTGGTCCATAGATAGGGACATGTTAGACTGCTGAGTAAGTAGAAGGAAAAGGGGGCTGAAAAAGACCAATAAAAAATGGCAGAGAGACAACTTTGAGAGGAGGGTCCCCCAATACCAAACACCTCAAGAAAGGAGAAGGAATTAACTCTCTGTCTGATGACGAGGGGCCTGAAGGTACACAGGCTGTTGAACTAAGCTGGTTGACTCCTCCCACAGTTTCCAATGCTGAAACCTGAGAAAGCCAAATGTTAAGCCCTTCTGGAAGATGCCTACTACAGGGCTCCCCCACAATAGGGATACCACCAAAAAGCACTAGGCCGAACACAGGAGTCAAAGCTCTGAGAAGTATCAGGTGTGGATTAGGACACACTGAGGATCCAAGTCCTTAAAGGTGAACTCCAGTCTTACCTTTTATTTCCAGTCATGTAGCAATGTCTCTGCTATGTTAAAAGCTATAACTCTCAGGTGGCTGCCTGCCGTTATCAACTCAATAAAAGCTCTATAATCTGCAGCACCTAATTTCTGGCCCCAAGGACTTAGTGCAAAATAAACCCTCTTTCTTCCATGTTTCTCCTGTTTGCCCACTTTATGAATCTATTAGTTTTCTCTGCCATCAAACATCTGTGCTTGCATCATGTGGAGGTGTGATCATTTAGTCTCCGCTTCATTTCTGGACGTAGTTAATTTGCTCCTTCTTCCTTTGTGGGCGCTAGCTTGCAGAATGTTATGTTGTCAACTGTAAGTACTCACACTTGTGCTGCATCAAAACTTCAATCAGCAGGATTCAACCCGTCCTTACCGCCTCTCTCCATGCACTCGTGAGCACTGGTTACCTATTGCAGAGACTCCTCAGGGGTTTCACCCCTATTTCAGAAATAGTGCTGGAACCACTGAGGAGTCTCTGCAATAGGGGCAGATGTGTGTATGGGTGTCAGAACGAAAGGGAATTGGTGGTGCCAAGGCTGACAGGGAAACAGTATGGAATGAGAGTGCTGACAGTGGGAGGGATGTCATGAGTGTGGGTGGTGTGAGATATAGTAGCAGAAGGGTGTGCAGTGAGGACGCACTGAGGAGAGAAAGTATTGTGGGGCTGATGTGTATTTGACTGTCTGCTGGAACAGCACTTGACAATAGGGAGAGCAGCCAAGCTTGCAGGAGGAAGCCAGGACTGGTGTAGGATGTAAAACAAACTTTTCTGATAGAAGAAAGCAGTGATGAATGAGAGGGCTAATGGTAAGAGGGTTTTCAGGACCAAGGGTGCTGTGGTGATATATAGTGGCAGAGGAGTCTGCAGTGGAAAGGACTAGGGGGAGAGATGTCACACATGGCAGATGTGCCTATGACTGTCAGATAGATGAATCAGCGAATGAGAGGAGATTGAGGATGGTATGAAGTGCATGGATAGTAGCTGTCAAATCACAGACCGGTAACTACAGAGAAGGCTGAGTAAAGGGCTGGCAGAGCTGAGAGAAGAAGCCATGGGTTATGTGGAGTCTGTGTGTGGTAGGCCAGAGCTGGGGAAAGAACAGTGCAGGGCAGGTGTATTGGCTGCTGTTTAATTTTGGCAAGGATAACAGGGGCTGTGAAGGAGTGCTGCATGGGTTCACAGAAAAGGAGACCATGCATGAGAAAAACCCAAAAGGGGAATGGGGCAGGGGAGAGCAGAGGAAACACCTCTCCTCTGCTCACCCTTTGGTATGGTGACCTGTACTTGGGAATGTTAATCTACAGATTGCGAACACCTGCTAGTTAACAATACTTACTGCTTGGCCACCATATTCTCTATTTCTCTGTGAATCCATCCTCTTTTTTTTCTGTCCATCCTGTGTGCCTGTTGTGTCCATTTCACTCCATTTGGCCATAATTTCCCCACCGTCTTTTGACCACCTTATACATACCACGCACTACCCATTTGTCCACACCATCATTTGTTGTTCATGTTAACTAATCACTGCCCAGATCAATCCACCCTTTGCCCATCTCTACAAACCCAAACACTTAGGTTGTGCCATCTGTTGTCAGAGCTTTATCAACTCAAGCAAATAGCGGATTTAAAAGGATAAGATAACTGAACAAACATACTGTTCAAGAATCTGTTCTTCACCCATTTATTCTGTTTTTTGGCATATTTTTTAGTTCTCTGCTTCAGAGCTTCTATTCCTGGAAAAGAAATGTACTGTTGGTTACTCTCACATCTATAAAGTCTATCACCTTTTGTGCCCTTTGGAAAATGGGCAATTATACATCTAAAAACTGTGTCAACAAGTACACTACTGACCTCTCTGCAGAAGAACCTCTTTCCGATCTTGGTTAATGTTATCCATAGTCACCAGATATTCATGAAATTCCTTGAACCCGATTGACTGGAAAATACCATGCTGATAATCCTGACTTAGGAAAAAGACAAAGGGTATTAAACAAAAGCCAGTGCAGTACGTTTAGTAAAACCATATCAAACAACCAAAATACATCATTCATTCATGTCACTTCAATATAAAAGATGAATTCTGACTGGCCACTGCTCTTTGCGTTGTTACTAAATAAGATCAAGGGATGTTCTCAGTAGGGCTGAAACAACTAATCGATAACATCTATTATAATAATCGTTATCGATTAGTTGATTTTTTGATTAGTTGAATCCCCGCAGCCACTCTGCTCCTCCATTCTCCTCCCTGCTGGTGCTGGCTGCAGCGGCCTGTGTCACTTTCACCTCTTCTGCCGGTGTTCTATTAATCCGTTGGACTCGAGTCCGAGGGATTGATAGAACACCGGTGTCAAGTCTCCAATCAGTGGCTGGACACAATAGCCAGCCTGCTATTGAAAATTTTAAAGTGCAATAAGCAGGCTGGCTATTGCACCCGCCCACTGCCCGCTGTCATTAAACAGAGGAGGACCTAATGGAGAACTTTCTCCTTCAGTTCCCTCCTCTGCAGATTGACAGAAGGCAGTGGGCAGGTGCAATAGCCAGCCTGCTACAGTAGTTTACACTAGCCAATAGGAGGCTGGCTATTGCTCCCAGCCACTGCATGCTGTATTTACATTCAGCTGCCTCAGCAGGCAGCGGTCATTCACCAGTGAAGTGGAAAGGTGACACTAGGGGTCTAAAATGGGCGATCACATAAGGAGCTTGTGAGCCCACCCATGCGATAGCAATTAAGTTAAAACAAAAAACAAGTAAAAAATAAAAGTTAAATAAAATTAAAAATACCCCCCAAAAAGTTTAAAGTCCTCTGCCCTCGCAAACGCGCGCATACTAACGGAAACACAAGTCGGGTGCACATACGTATGAAAACAACAATTGCGCTACACATGTCAGGTATTGCCGCGTGCACCAGAGAGAGAGCAATAATTTTCCGGCCAATATTTATGGCTAACTAAACTAATGACCGGGCTTCATTTATTTTAAACAAAAGTTTAGCTATTTTATTATATCGGAGTTTTACCATTCATATTATTTTAAATCCATGAAACTAATTTAAATGTATAATACAACTATAAAAAATATATATAAAAAAAAAGGTGGGAAAAGTAATGTGCATGCAGTTTATTATGAAGTAAACTTTGCTTGTAACACTCCATTTGTGTATTTTATGATAAATAAAAGATGGTATTTAATTTTTTTTTCTTTAAATCGATTAAATTAAAAAAATAAATTGGCCAACTGATCGATCATTCGTTCTCAGCAATCTAATATCCTCTCACATGCATCTCTGTTTGCATGATATTAAACCTTAATCTTTGCAATCTAACAGGGTTATTGGCAAAAGTGTGAAGAGTTTGGAGAAGGCAGGAGAAGTGAGCAATCTAGGCCAAAATAGGTGATTTGGAAACATTCTCCAATTCAGCTCACTTTCCAGTTCATCTATGTTGTCCTAGAGTGTTCACTTCTCCTGCCTTCTCCAAACTCTTCACCCTTTTGTGAATAACCCTGTAAAAACATGTAAAACATATAATCAAGCATTCATAATATTCATGTATTTTGCCATTTCATGGTGCCACACCTACCCAGATTGTGCAACAAGCTGTGCATTGTAGCGCGTGTGAAAGTCTTTTAGTTCCTTTATGAGTCCCTGTTGCAACATCTCATCAACCCTGGCACTCAGCCTAGCATTAAGTACTGTAACAAAAAATTTGATGAGAAACTGTTTACATTAGTTTTGACAGCTACACCAAATTTCCAGTCCTAGGAATCCATAGAAAGACAGAGTTACCTTCCTGATCTGAATGTAACCAAAGGATGCAAAGGTTTGGATACCTTAAGGCCCCACCTAAGGGGCCACCTCCATCAACTTCCTGCTGTCGTCTAAGGTGTTCAGTATGGGGGATGCCAGACTCCTCAAACACCTGCAGGCTCCTGCGTGGCAGACACAGTGTCACTGGGTCATCATCAGGCACTGTTTGTAAGGCAGGCCAGTGCTCTTTACCCCCTACTGACAGAGCTCAGTATCAATTGAAATAAGCTGAAGAAATCTCCCATCAGCCCTATGAAAGGGAGAATTATAAGTACACACTACAAAGATGTCTTAAATAGGTTACAAACAAGTCAGCTCTTGCTAGAAAGTATGTTACCGGACTTGTTTTTCCACTATTCCTCTACAATGAGCACACTGGTGAAGATTACACAAAGGAAGCTGCACATTTGTAGGCTACTAAATTTGGAGATACAATGAAAGCTTTTGGAAACCTTTGGTATATGCAGTATGATCAGGCTTCAGTGAATATACTCCATATTCAGCATGTGCACTGTGTCCCCATGTTTCTATACCATTCATGCAACTTTCAAAGGTTCCCAACCAACCAACAGATATTTACCAGACTTGTTGCAGATATTATGGGTTGTTTTTTTTCAGGTGTCACTTGGAACATTGTTTTGGTTTCAAGTGACACCTGAAAAAAAAGCATAATATCTGCAACAAGCAAAAGTTGCATGAGTGGTATAGAAACATGGGGACACAGTATCTTTATAGCAACACCCCCTACCCCAACACTGTGCATTTAAGCAAGCAACACAGAAGTGTTGGGGTAGGGGGTGTTGCTATAAAGATAAAGTTTACTTTGGCCATAGGAAATAGAAAAAGCATGGGCACAGCCATGAAGCCAGAACATACGGCCTACATCAAAGTGAAATCTCTGTCACCCTGCGTTCTCCTCCTGTTTCTTGTCAGCACATAAACTGATTGTCTCCTTCTGCTGCTAATTCCTCTCGCACTACTGCCCTGCTATACAGGGACAACAAGAGGCTGATACCAGGTACTTATATTGCTGCATTTAAATACATTTAATTTTGTGTTAATGAATAGCGAGCTGCATATATTTGTGTCTTCTATATCAGTCTAGAGTTAAGCTTTAAGGCATTTTAAAGGGTAAATCCACTTTCTCACAAATTGTGGAGTAAGGTTGGTGCAGGGGGGCTGTGTATATGTATGAACAGTGGGCGCAGGGAAAGCTGGCAGAGATCATTTTCTCAAATGAGAACGCGGACTTAGCCATTGAGCAAAAATCAGTGAACATATATGTCAATACAGGACTATAAACTGAAAAACATCAATTGGGTTTTCAGCTGTATTCCCAATGCTATACTAATCAATAAAGCCTGTTTTTTTTCTTAGTCACAATATTAGGCTTAATCCACCACAAGGAATATTTTGCAGACTGTAGAGTAGCGTATGCCAACAAACCAGAATTCCTCTTATTGTTGTGATTTCAGAAACTGTGAGCAGTTACCCATAGTAACTAATCAACGTCTCTTTTCTGTTTGTTTAGTTCAGCTTCGAAAATGAAAGATAGAAGCTGGTCACCATGAGCTACTGCTCCAGTTTTGAGAAATTCCCCTCCACGAGTCTTTTTTTCCTGCATGCTGCAGTTTCCAGGTGATGAAGAATATTTTCCAGGCATTTGAAGGTTCTTTGCTATTTCATTTTGGTCTGGACAACATACCGCAAACATGTCATACATTATTAAAAGGCACTGTCCCACATAACCACAACTTATAAATGCTCCATTAATATATTAACCACAACTTATAAATGCTCCATTAATATATTAAGGTAATTCATGCTTTGAGGATGTCCCATCATGAAAGCACAGGGCAGTTACACCCCCGTCACTACCCTAGATAAAAAGACAATCTGCTCTATCTTTGTATCATGTCATTTTGCATCAAGCTAACGCTTTGCAGAACCAGCCAGAAGTATTTGTTTTTTGTGCCCACCTTGTGACTTTCCTTTTATCATGTGGATGCAGCTTTGCTGCCATCTCGGGGTCTACCTCTTTCAGGCGTGCATGGAGCTCATGGCCATCTAGTTTTTCCAGCTCTGACTTCCTGTCAATTGCAGTCTGAACTTCATCACCTTCATTGACTGCCTTCATTGTAGATGGGGATCCCTGTAAATATAATGAATGCAATATCACATAACAAAAGTATGTTATCATGAAAACCTTATTAATAAACAACAAGGACTGGGGATGTTTCTCATAACATCACTGGGGTTAGCAATTACTTCCTATGTTATGCTTAGCTGGAATCTAATTGGTTGCTCTCTCGTTTTTCCCAGTTCCTTTAAAGCAGGGGTCTCAAACTCAATTCACTCGGGGGCCACTGGAGAATTATTTTTCTCCCATGGGGGCCGCTTGCCAAATTTCATTCTTCAAAATAAAATGTAACTATATACGGTATGGTACTACCGACACTTATACACACCCAATAAGGCCCCAATAATATCTTTAAGTTTAGGTTCGATTAGGGGTTCCTACGTCAGGAACTTGCGTTTTCCTGCAGCAGGAATCCCTAATCTGGTGTTTACAAGTAACAGCTGTCACCCATTCAAGTTCATGATCAGGTGACAGGACAGAGAAGCAGCTATACGGTCTGCATCTGACAGATACGCAGACCTTGTAGCTACTCACGCATGTCAGCTACTTGGTCCGCGACCGGGGGCCTGACTTTTCAGCTCAATGTTGGCCACATAGTACCAGCTCCCGGGCCGCAACTGGCCCGCGGGCCAGTACTTTGAGACCCCTGCTGTAAAGGAAATCCAAAGTGTCAAAAAGCAGCAGGTACTTACCACATCAACTAAGACTTTCCAGAGAAGTGACTCTATGTAATAGTTTGTTCCTCCCACAACAATTGGGACTTTGTCCCTGGAAAATATATCTTCGATGTTTGCATGGAATTAAGGAGTTTAAATTGCCAGTTCTGAATACAGAGTTATGAGAAAAAGGAACGCAAACCCTTAGAAAATGTCTTGATTTTTGCATAATGGCTACTAAATTGTGATCTGTCTTCATCTAACCTACCCTACTGTCAGAAACTGGGTCCCCCAGAGTTCTTGCCATAATGTGCAAGTATGCATAGCACCTTCAAGGGTGCCTGCCTCCTGCAATGTGAAGTTTGTACTTCCCCTCATTTCCCTGTCACCACCGCTGCAATGTTCTCCCAGTATTTCTCTCGGGCCGGCATCTTTTGTCTTCAGCCATTGGTTGGTCATGGATGATAACTCCCATACATGTGCACAGAAGTTACATCAGTTAACTTGCATTTCTGGGGCACGCCCCTTTCATCAGAACCAATGATGGGGCACGCCCCCGTCATCAGAACCAATGATGGGGGCGTGCCCCAGAAACGCGTAAACCATTTATCAATACAGGGATCGAGGTTACTGGTGTTTTACATCGCTCCAGATTCTCCCTGCCAGGGGTTCCGTCCTCTCACCTTATTCTACTGGTTTTTATTCTACCGAACTGTTGTAAGTACAGCCTTAGCTGCGTGTTGTTACTATTAAATAACATTTTTACACTATGGAGGCGCTCTCTTTTGTTCCTTTTCTTTTAGGAAAGTGTTTTGACCTATTGTTCAAAACCCAAGCTGTGCTGCTGCTACAGTGGAGATTTATGACCAGGCTGTCCTATATAGCAGGGATGTCTGGATCACAATACAGGAGCCATAGAATTACAAAACCTTAGGCAGGTAAGACAACACCCATAAATGTGTAAAGTCACTTTGTGCGTTTTGCCTTATGGACTAAAGTGGTGCATACTAGGGATGCACCGATTATTTTCGAGTACCAGTGCCGATACTTGGCATTTTCATGAGAACTACCAGGGTTGCAGTGCTTGCAGCCAGGACCTAGCTCTGGTGCTCCACCACTGTCCTGAAATCATTAGTCGATATAGTCTTAGAAAAACTGTCACATGGCAATAAACAAAAATGTATCAGTACTCGTACTTGTAAGTACTTGGGCTAGTATCAGTACTTGTACTGGCAAAACTGGTATTGGTGCATCCAGTGGTGTAACAATCGCCATAGCGACCCAGGTGGCCGCTATGGGGCCCGGCCAGGGCATCCCTCTGATGCCGTGTGGGCTGCCTGGGTCGCTATGGCGTCTCGGGGTGCTGGCTGTCACTGACATAGCTCAGCAGCAGCTGTGAGGGAGAACGTTTCCCCTCACAGTCGCTGCGGAGCTGTGTCAATGACAGCCTGCAGATGTGGCAGAAGAGGCCGGTTACACCGGCATTTGCAGTAAAGGAGGCAGGGCCCGCCTAACAGCAACCCCGCCTCCTCTCACATCACTGGCCAGCGATCTAAGAGCAAGTGGGGCCAGTGATGTAAGAGGAGGTGGGGGCCCCGTCAATAGGAGGCGGAGCCCGGAGACGGAAGAGGAGGCGGGGGCCCGGTGACTACGGAGGTGGACAACGCTGACAGGTAAGAGGCGTGCAGCCCAACTGAGACCTTGCAGAGCCCACTATAGAGAGTCTATGGTGGGCTCTGCAAGTGACATAACTAGCAATCACGGGGCCCCATACAAAATTTTGCAATGGGGCCCTGTGATTTCTAGTTACGCCCCTGGGTGCATCCCTTTATTTATATTTATAAAAACAAAATCATACATTAAAACAGAGATGTACAAATCCCAGGAGCTCCGTGTGCTCCTTACAAATGACAGCTGCCTCCTAATTTTTGATTTTCTCTAGTCTAGTCTTGGGGCTGGAAAAGTATCTGTACTTGTACAGAGTACGGTACTTGGTATTGGTGCATCCCTAGTGCATACATACAGTGGTTACCGCCTACCCTCTTCTTATTGGGGGAAAGGGAAAGTTTGGTCAGGATGCAGGAGATTTTCCAACAAGTTTATAAACCTCTGTGACCAATCGTGCGCTTCCATCATTGGAAACACTCATTACTGATACTCTGAAATAGCTCGACCCTTGCCTGAGAATCACACTGGGATAAAAAAAAAAACATTTTAGAGCAGCGATTTCTTAAACCTGTGTAACCTCAGGATCCACATTTGTCCTCGTTAATTAAGTCGTGATCCAAGTTGCACTGCGTTCGAACTGTGGGTGGGAATGGCAAAGCAACACACCTCCCACACCAGAATGCGTGGCGGGTGTGATTGCATGGTACAGTGCTTTAATCGCATGGAACTGTGCAATTATTGCACTGTACTAGTGTGAACGCGTCCTCAAAAACAGACAGACACACACAACCACATACACAATCTCACACACACACTCCCCAAAAAAGACTTAAAATAAAAATGTTTTCAGATCCATCCCGTCTCCCTACCTTACTAGACCTGGAGTGGATACCCAGGCTGGGGTCCAGTGTGGGCTGCTGTGCTGTGATGGAGCGCCAGCCATATGTGCATTGCTTTTACAGCTCCTTTATGTGCCCTGTAGAGGTGGTGGGAGCCAGAATGCATATAACTCCAGTCCAGACACCTCTACAGGGCACGTCAGGGAGCTATACGAATGGATGGAGCTCCCTCATAGCCGCAGCCCACTCCGCCTCAAGCTGACACTCGGTGCCAGGCAGCATATTTTGGGGTGAGAACTGGCAGTGCTGAGAAAGGTGGAGGCTGAGGAGCCTCTCACCTAGAAGAGTGGAAGGCATGCGGTGACCCACTGAAGGTGCATCCCTTTATTTATATTTATAAAAACAAAATCATACATTAAAACAGAGATGTACAAATCCCAGGAGCTCCGTGTGCTCCTTACAAATGACAGCTGCCTCCTAATTTTTGATTTTCTCTAGTCTAGTCTTGGGGCTGGAAAAGTATCTGTACTTGTACAGAGTACGGTACTTGGTATTGGTGCATCCCTAGTGCATACATACAGTGGTTACCGCCTACCCTCTTCTTATTGGGGGAAAGGGAAAGTTTGGTCAGGATGCAGGAGATTTTCCAACAAGTTTATAAACCTCTGTGACCAATCGTGCGCTTCCATCATTGGAAACACTCATTACTGATACTCTGAAATAGCTCGACCCTTGCCTGAGAATCACACTGGGATAAAAAAAAAAACATTTTAGAGCAGCGATTTCTTAAACCTGTGTAACCTCAGGATCCACATTTGTCCTCGTTAATTAAGTCGTGATCCAAGTTGCACTGCGTTCGAACTGTGGGTGGGAATGGCAAAGCAACACACCTCCCACACCAGAATGCGTGGCGGGTGTGATTGCATGGTACAGTGCTTTAATCGCATGGAACTGTGCAATTATTGCACTGTACTAGTGTGAACGCGTCCTCAAAAACAGACAGACACACACAACCACATACACAATCTCACACACACACTCCCCAAAAAAGACTTAAAATAAAAATGTTTTCAGATCCATCCCGTCTCCCTACCTTACTAGACCTGGAGTGGATACCCAGGCTGGGGTCCAGTGTGGGCTGCTGTGCTGTGATGGAGCGCCAGCCATATGTGCATTGCTTTTACAGCTCCTTTATGTGCCCTGTAGAGGTGGTGGGAGCCAGAATGCATATAACTCCAGTCCAGACACCTCTACAGGGCACGTCAGGGAGCTATACGAATGGATGGAGCTCCCTCATAGCCGCAGCCCACTCCGCCTCAAGCTGACACTCGGTGCCAGGCAGCATATTTTGGGGTGAGAACTGGCAGTGCTGAGAAAGGTGGAGGCTGAGGAGCCTCTCACCTAGAAGAGTGGAAGGCATGCGGTGACCCACTGAACATGGGGTCGCGACCCACCAGTTGAGGACCAAGGTTTTAGAGGATCTCAGAGAAAGAACGGGTAAATATGATAACCTAGAAATGGGTTGCAAATAGATTTATAAAAACTTGAGCCCCATCAGCCCACACATAAAAAACTGTAGCGCCATTAACAATCTCCCAAGGAAAGAGTGTTCAATTAAGAATGTCTATTATTATTATTATTATTATTATTATTATTAATTGAGCCATTAATTCAGAGCTCTGAATACTTTCCTAAAAGTTCAACAAACTGTTTTCTCATTTCTGTATATGTGTCATCAAGATGGAAGATAAGCCCGGGTAGTTGGTGTAAAAAAGGATATCAGAGTAACAGCTTTATTCCGGAAATCAACCACTGTATAATTGGCGACAAGTGGATCCACAAAGCTGATCATGTGATGTTTGCAGAGTTGCTGCTCCTCAGATGTCACTTTATTTGTGATAATATCCAAGCCTTTATATACCTAAAAATAGAGTTAAATAACAATAAACAAAGTATAAACTGTCGTCCATGAAAGATCAAATTTCACAACATCAGTAGGAAACGGACCAAAATATGGATATAAATGGCAAAAGTTACGGACAGGGATTTAAATGGTACATGCAGAAGAAAGTGATGGTAATGCCCCTGTTAAGGTGGCCATACACTTTACAACCATCGCAAGACCTTAGTCTTGCGATGGTTGTAAAGTACTTTTAAAAAAAACGTACCATCTGCCCATCTTGGACAGGCAGATCACGGGTTTTCCAGCCTGCTTGTTCGATGGAAGACGTGCAACCGTACAGTAGAAACGGTCGCACGCCTTCCATACACTGTACGATTCTCGTACGATCGCGGAATTTCCCGCGATTCTCGTACGAGAATCGTACAGTGTATGGGCAACTTTAGACAGTTGTCCTTGGAACATGCATCCCAATTAGAAGATTTCCTCTCACTTCACCACTGTTTGGGGAAAAGCCTAGAATTCTGGATTTTCTCTCACTTTCTAATTTGGTCACCAGTACAAACAGAGGGGTAAATCTCCCCAGCAATAAAAGCTTTACAGAAGGACTAACCCTTCCCCACTCTATTCAAAACTACAAAAAAAGGTTTTGCATAGAGATACACTTTAAAGTGACAATAATCCTTCATTTAAAACAAAATTTATTATGGAGGGGCAGACTTGATAGAAATGTCTTTTGTGGCTTCTTTAAACGTTTTAGTTTCCTCGTTCTCTAGTTGTCCCCGCTGAGGAGACACCCGTGCGTGCATGTTCAAGCACCTAACAGTGTACGTCCATAGACGAGCCATGCCCCCTGCTCCCACAGTCACACTTTGACAGCAGAAGGAGCCTATAGCTCCTGTGCCCTCAGTAACCTCCCCCAAGAACAGGAAGTTCACTATGCCTTCCACATGTGCACTGTGGCTATGAGCCGTTCTTCCCAAGCCATGTGGTACCGTTTTTTGTCACCGTTTCATGGACGCACACAATTTTTTAACCTGAGCGCGGGTATCTATTTACTCGTCGTAACCTCATCTTTTAATTTGGAATATTATATTGGTTTTGGGCACTAAAATTAACGTAAGTTGTTTGACAAAGAGTTGTGCTAGTATCGTGCAGCATAAAAATCTGCAACTGCCACCATTTTATTCTACAGGGTCTTTACGTTCAGAATATATATAGGGGGGAATTTATCAAAACTGGAGCAGATTGAATCAGGAGCATTTGCCCATGACAACCAATGAGCTTCTCTCTTCAGTTTGTTTAGTTATGATTTGGAAATAAGAGATTGGTTGCCGTGCACAGCTGCTCCAGATTTTGCCTGTTTCAGTTTTGATAAATTCCCCTCATAATGTTTTGGGGGTTTTAAGTAATTTTCAGGTCTAAAATGTGGAAGATGTGTGCAAAAAACACCTTGGCTGCAAAAGGGGTAAAGGGGAACAATGTCACCAGAACAGGAAGTGGGGGTGAATCTTTATAATGGACTCTCAGACAGCAGTAAAACCTGGCACAAATCCTAAACCTTCCCCACTACATCCAGATGTAGAATAAAAAAAATACTATAGACTTTAATATTTCAAATAAAATGTGCTCATGGTCCATGTGAAATAATAATGGCTCCTATAAAAAAGAACTGCCAAGACAACTGTAGACCAGGACACACAGACATTACATGCATATATATGGCAACCAATCAGCTTCTTTCATTTTCAAAGCTTAGCTAAACAATATGAAGTTAGAAGCTGATTGGTTGCCATGGTCAACTGTTCCACACTTTGTCTACACCAGTTTGTATGTGTCTTGGTATTTATTTTTCTTAATAGCAGCCATTATTTCAGTGAGGGTCTGAGTTGTAAAATGTAATACACTGTCCCAACAGCATGGCCTCCCTTCGTCACTCCCCCCGTTACCTGCATGGAGTCCGCACTGATAATTTCCCCTCCCAGGGTCCGACCTAACTGTACAGCCAGCTTGGATTTGCCGGTCCCGGTCGCCCCAAGAACAACCACAAGAGGTAGAGAGCGCTTCAAGCTGTGCGCCGCCATATTGGTTACGTCACAGCCCCGTCCGAGAGCAGGAAGAGGCGGCCCTGGAGCACAGACAGGACACCGGTCCGCACGGGAGATTCATGTACAATGACAAGCAGGGGAGCAGAGGCTGCTCATGATTATACATAGGTCCTAACCGTTCCTCAATTCCAGAGACTGACCTTTACAAATTAGGACCCTCTGTCCCCGAGTCCTCCATGTGCCCCCTGCAAAGGAAAACTTAGGTAGTCATCTCTCCTGAGCTTGTCAGTACAGGTCACAGAAGAGGGGAGCAGCTAAGTCCTTCATTGCAGGGGGACTGATATAAGGATGATATGAGGTGGTAACGAGTCCTTTAACCACTTGAAGACCACCATTTTTTAGTATTCATCGCTGCGGTACTTTGACTGACGTTTATTCCGTCAGTCAATAAATGTCAGTTGTTTGGCTGTTTACATGCTTACAGTTTTCCCTATCGTGTGTGCGCTGAGCCAGCTTACCAGGTGCTTTTTTAACTACTTCAGGTCCGGAGCAATTTTTCATGTTTTGCACAAACATGTTAAATTTTTAATTGTTGGCTAGGAAATTGCGTGAAACCCAAAAACATAAAAATGCTAGTTGCAGAAAATATTATGAACCCTTGCAGTGGGCTACTCCACTAACCCGGCAGTTAAACCCCGCACTGCAAGGGTTAAGTACTCTTTTTGGTCTGGGGCAGAAAATAACAAAGTTATAGTCATCCGAACCTCAGATCCGGTCGACTGTGACAGCGCTCTCTCCAACCTCTCTCCTCCTATGCTGCAGCATATGTCCTATGTCCCACAGCGCCCTTACGTCCTATACACCATATAGAACATGATGATTTATGATACCTCAGACCACTGCAGCGGAGGTGAGCGAGGCTCCAGGAACCGGTCCAAGAGCAAGCCAGCTGCAAGGATTGGTTGAGTATAACTTTATTTTCCTCCATAGACACAAACCAGCACTTAAAGTACAATTAAAGTCTCTTATCTTTTGGCATATATCTACTAAGGATGGGCTCGGGCGTGTTCGTAGCTCCATGTGCCGAGCCTGCCAGGAAGCTGGCAGCGCCAATCACAGGTACTGAGACATTTTCCCGGTCCGCAGCTGCAGAGATCGGGAAATGTCTCAGTGCCTGTGATTGACGCTGCGCGCTGTCAGCTTCCTGGTGGGCTCGTCACGTGGAGCTGCAAACACGCCCTGAGCCCATCCTTAATATCTACTACTAGCAAGCATAGATATATAAGCCCCATGATTAAAACATTTTTTAAAAAGTGGACAAATACCTAATTACTTACCTGTTCCAGTGCCGCTCGCTCTCGGCTGAAGAACTCCCGGCTCACAAACGGCTGTGGAAGAGGAAGTGTGCGGGCGCATGCGCAGTAGAGGGAGGGGGGGGGGGGGAGAAAATTAAACTGAATGGATGCAGCCGGGAGCGTGCACATCGGACAGACACCGTGGGACACGAGAAGTCTGCACTGGATCTGAGACAGGCACCAGCGCTGGAGGGACTGTGGAAAACGAGTGAAAGGAAGAAGTTGTTCGGATCAAAAACAAATTTTTTTTAAAGTCCCCCCACGTGCACGCACATAAAACGTAAACACGCGTTGGATGCGCCTACGTACATATCGTCGCGAGCGCCGGAGTGAGAACAATAATTCTAGGGCCATCAATCACTGTTAACACTAAACAGAAGAGCAGTAAAAGCATTTAAAGCGTTGCTTACGAGAAATTTTGGTTATTGTAGTTTTTTGCGGTTTCAAGGACGCACGCAATTCAAGGCGCACATGAGGTCATCGGAGCGGGGACAGAGAGGCTTGCACTGTGAGTTAGTGTATGCATACTGGGAGCGTGTATGCAGGGGTGTCTCCATGGGACCCTGTAAGTAGAAGGAGACACCGAAGCATCGGACAACGGCACAAGCATTGAAGGGACGACTTAAAATGACTGGAAGGAAGAAAATGTATACATCAAGAGGCATCACATAAAGTAAGTCTTTACACCAGCATTAGGGGATGTTCATCAATGTGCAGTGAGTGAGTGATTGCCCTAAAATTATTGCTCTGAATCCCCTTGTGATAGCACAAAGTAAGGGACAGGTTCTCTTTATGAATACCTCAGGGGTCACCAATGGACCCCATTAAAGCTGATTTGTTAAAAAGAAAAGGAATGCAGCCACCACATCTAGCAGGCAGGCTGTAATATATTACATTTTCTGGGTTTATATGCACTGTAAATCTGCCACTTTAGGTCTGATGTTCAGATCTCAGTAAAAATGTATTATTTAAAGTCATTCTGTATTTAGTTTAAAAAGTACAAAGTTTACAAAAAAAACACTCCCTACAAGAAAAAAGGTTAATACCCCTCCTGCCATCTGTGCTGCCCACCTCTGCTGTCATTACAAGATACACTGGCTGAAAAGTCTTCACCATCTGAGGCTTCTTGGAGTGTCGACTGCCTGGTGTCCTTTTGCCATGAATTTGCATGTACACAGGCGCCCACACCCTTACAGCATAAATTCAGAAGTGTTTTCCCTACCAGGGAGCCCAAGGTTCTGCGTACAGCCTTCTTTATGAGTCAATGTCTGTACGTGGCTGTAGGCTAGGGATAGGCAAACTCCAGCCCTCAAGCTGTGGTGCAACTCAAAATTCCGTTGCAAGATAGCCACGGGCATGACTCCCAGAGAGAAATGCTTGATGAGATTTGTACCACAGCTGGAGGGCCAGAGTTTGCCTACCCCTGCTGTAGGTGATTATACTCTGTTCCTAGCATACACCCGCAGATGCGCATGTACGTACGACCCTGGATGCTGACAGTTTCTGTCCCATGTATTGTCGCAGTAACCTGTTTGCTGCCCACATATTGTCATGATTGCCTGTTTGTTTCTTGTATATTGTAATGATGAATTACCACAAAATGATACAGAACTATAAATATCCCATATCATTTTCTATATTCATACATAAAAATATGTGATGGAAAAACGTGACAGATCTGAGCCACAAATTGACCCCTTAGTGACACAGCTTCCAAATTTTTTTTTAAATCCTGGGGACCGGAGCAATTTTGTCATTTTTGTGTTCGTTTAACCATAATTTCCATCTTCATCATTCATTGCACCTACACATGTTATATACTGTTTTTTAAAGGACAAAATGGGCTTTTATTTGATGTGACATATGCTTATATACTGTAAATTCTAATTTTTTTATAGAAAAATATTCAAAAAACATTGAAAAAAAACAAATTTTTCAGTTTTGGCAATAATAACGTGTCCATAATTAGTGTAGCTAACAGAAAGAAATTCATAATAAATTATTTCATTTGTTCTGATTTATAGGGTAAATCATATGTCTGGGATTTCAGTTTACTTTGGAAGTCATCGGTCACAAAATACAAGGAGTAAAATACAATTTTAGTGTGGAACAATTTTAGAATGTGGTTTGTCTCCTATCTTTAATAGCCTCCTCTGCATTATATTTTCTTATCATGTTTTATTAAACAAATCTTTTTTTTACTTTTTTACATTTTTAAAAACTTTTAAAAACAGTTTAAAACTTTTTTTTTTACAAAAAAACTAGGGGACACTAAAGGGTTAATTTTTTTATTTACAGGGGCTTTGGATATTTAGTATTTTGAGGAGACCCTCTTGAGTCTAAGGGCTTGTTCACACCAAATCCAGTACGTTCAAGCACCGTTGGTTGCTGGAACACACAGGATTTCATAGAGGAAGCCTCCCTGTGTTCTGGGGTGGGAGGGGGCATGGTGGCGCATTCAAGTCAATGACACCTCACTCACGCCACCTGCTCTGCAGTGTGATCGCCCACACCAGAATACATGGCACAGCAATGCCCGAGGTGAGGTGGGATCGTAAAAATAGGGCAGACGCTATTTTTTGCAATCGCACCGCACGCCCCAGAACACAGGGAGGTTTCTTCTATGCTATTTAGGGCATTCAAGCCACTAACTGTGCTGGAATGCACTGGATTTGGTGTCAACAAAATCTAAGACAGCGGTGGACAACTCCAGCCCTCCAGCTGTGCTTTAACTACAAATCCCAACATGCTTCGGCCTCTGGGAGTCCTGTAACTGTCAGTCTTGCAATGCCTCATGGGACTTGTAGTTTCACAAAAGATGCAGGGCCAGCATTCCCTACTTTGCCTTGCCTTGGTCTAAAGCATCTCGTTACCAGGAAGGTAAGAAACTGATTGCACCAGAGATATAGCATGTCTCTCCTTTAATAAAAAAACAAACCTCCTTTGCTCTGAAATGTTTAATTTGAAGGTGACGTTCCACTTTAAATTCCTAAAGTGCAGGTACATATGTAAAGCAGGAACATATAAATGCTTGTAAATATCATGACATACTTGTAGTGTTCCCCAGGGTTCCTAGGGAGCTCTCATATGTAAATATTGACTTGGATTCCTGAAGTCTTGGCTGACCCAACTCTCTAGCATTCCAAGCTAGATCACTATTACTCCATCACTATGATGAACAGATTCACTGGGGTGGAGCTAACCATGACTTTAGGAAGTGTCTTATTGCATATGAGAATTCCTAGAGAGGTATACGTGTTTATATATGTGCCTCTAGTTCATAAGGTAATCACAGGCTTATTTTATTAGACTTATGTTAGGGAGAATGTTTTAGAGTTAAAGAATTTACCCTGGAAGTGGGGCTACCCCCGCACTGTAAGGGTTAAATGTTCATTTTGGTCAAAGGGTTGAAATAAAGCACTTTTACTGCTCACCTCTCTACCCTGCCACTCCGGCTGCGGAATATCCCTCAGCGTCCTATGGACCTACATAAGACATGATGACGTCAGCGGCCCTTGGAGCACTGGAGCCCAGGGGAGAAGAAACTGTGGGTACAAGTCTAGCATTCTGGAGGGAGCCAGGATCAGGTAACTAATTCTGCTTTGTTCCAGCCCCTAGACAAAATCAGCACTTTACCCTTGCAGTGCAGGGGGTAGCCCCACTACAAGGGTATGTTTTTTTTTTATGTGC